TTTTTTTTTTTTTTTTTTAAGAACCACCATGCATATTTTTCACAACAGCTGCACTATTTTAACATTCTCCCCGCACTGCACAAGATCTCCATGAAATCACTGATTTTTATAACTAACGATTTTCCTGATTACAGTACATGTTCACATTAGGACTTTTGGAAAACTCTAAAAAGCAAAATGAGCAAATTAAAATTCCCTTTATTGGTACCGAGACATGCTCTGAATTCGTATTCCCAACAGAAATGGAAGAGATTGTTTTCCTGGGATGATTCCATCACCATGCTTGACAAGAGGCAAGAACAGTGCTGACACCTGCCGGCCTGGACCTCAGCTCAGGTATACCATCCTTGTCCCCAAAACTGTGAAGTTTGCGCAGCTAAAGTGACGTCTGGGATGTTGCTCAGTGGCAGAGCCCTCGCATATTGTGCACGAGGCACTGGGCTCCACCTCAAGTACAATAAACAAGCGCTCGCGAGTCTTCTCTGCTGGGTGTTCCCGGCAGGAGGTGTCACTCCCTGTGAGTCTGTTCCCTCATCTTTAAAGCCATCTCAGGATCGATAGGACACAATAAATATTTGCGGTAAGTGACTTCTCTAGAGAAACACGGTCTACAAACACACCACCCAGGTCTCAAAAACTGAACATTCCTTTTAACCTAGCAGGCAAGAAAAGACCTCGATAGCGTAGCTCAAACACTCGCACCCCTCCCAGGAAGCAAACTGGAGGAAAACATCCGCCTGGCTATACTTCTCTGCTTGCCCATTGGCCAGCTTCTCAGTGGATCCGCCTTTTATCCGCTCTCTTCCTATCGTCGCCGCCGTTAGTCTCTAGGACCGTGTTCTCATTGGTTCTGTCCGCCGTCGCTCTGTGCCTGATGTTCCAGTGTCAGCCACTGAGAGACTCTATACTGGTGTTTTTTGAAAACTCCGGCCGTGAAGTAGGCGGGGCGGGAGATTTGAACGCAGCGGCGCTGGGGGTGACGCAGCTCTGGCTTCCCTTGGCACGCGCTACGGCCTCTACCGCGTGAGCCCGAGGTGCCGCGCGCCAGACCCTCCGCGGCCCGCCATGGCCCCGCGCCGGCGCCGCAAGCCGGAGACCCCGAGTAGGCGCTCCCCGACCCGCGGGACGCCCCGGCCGAGCACCTCAGGTAACCGGGCCGCGGGGCCGCGCTTCAGCCGCCGCCTCAACGAAGGACGCGCAGAGGACCGGCCAGACCCCCGCGCCTCACTCGCAGCCTTCGCGCAGCGCTTGCCACTAACTGGATATGGGGCAAGCTGTTTTGCGAGCATTAGCCTAACTTTATTGTATCAGTTTTATTCTCGCAGTGCTGGGGTTTGAACCGAGGACACAGCTACATCCTCATCCCTTTTAAAATTTTCAGTCTTTGGCGAGCGTCTTGACAAGTTGCCCAGGCTGGGCTCGAATTTGTGGTCCTTCTGCCTCAGCTTCCCAAAGGACGGGGATAACAGGCGTGCGCCACCACTCCCAGTTTATTGTACCCATTTCACAGCTAGTGAGAAAACGAGACCAGAGACCGCGCAACTTGGACAAAGTCACACACCTGACTATGGAACGTACAGGAATGTAATCCTCCCTATTTAAATTGCAAACCGGTTGGCTGGGTTTTAGTGATTATTTGAAACAACAGTACTGCTGTCTTTCCAGGTTTTTCCTCCAGTAAGTGGCTGCACTAAGCTCCTTGCTTCACCCTGTGCCTTTCTGAAGGTTGTGTCCCTGGGAAGAGGGAGACGTTTGTGGTCCTCCGTTTCTAGATTGCAGGTTGGAGGGAGCAAATGGCGATGAGGCTCAGGGTGACAGTGCCGTCTCACTCTGCTTCTTTTTTTTTTTTTTTTTTTTTTTTTTTGGTGGAACCAGAGATTGAACTCAGGCCCTTGTGCTTGCCAGGGAAGCGCTTATTCTACTGAGCCATCTCCCCAGCCCCTCTGCTTCTTTTTTGATGGGTGCATATTAGTAATACGGAGTGATGCTTTTTTATTTTGACATATTGGTACACTATGCCAGATCTATTGTTTTCATCCCTATTATCCATTCTCCCTTTCGTAGCCCTCTTTCCCATCTCAGTAAGTCTTTGTAGTTTCCTGCCATCTCTATTTCTGTATTTAACGTTTATTTTTAGATTGCTTATGTAAGAAAATATGCAGTATGTAGCTTTCTGGAGCTGGGGAGAGAGCTCAGTAGAATAAGTGCTTGCCTGGCAAGCGCAAGGGCCTGAGTTCAGTCCCTGGTTTCGCCAAAATAAATAAATAAATAAAGGAATATTTAACTTTCTGAGGGTCTGAGATATAGCTCAGCAGGAAAAGTGCCTGCTTGGCAAATGCAAGGTCCTGAGTTGGATTCCTGATACACAAAAAAAAGAAAAGAAAAGAAAAAGAAGAGAAGTTTCTGAGACTGGCTTATTTTACTTAATGTGATGGTCCAGTTCCATTCATTTTCCTATAAATGACATGATTTTGTTCTTTTTTTTTTTTTTCTTCTGCACACAGTACTGAGGATTGAATTCTGGGCCTTTGCACTGAGCTACATCCATCCCAGGCCTACTCTCCCACCAAGACAGGATCTTGGCAAGCTCCCAGGCTGAGCTTGAATTTGTGATCATATTCTTTACTGCTGGATAATACTCCATTGTGCATATAGGCCACATATTTTTTATCCATTCATCTGTTGATGGGCATTTAGGCTGTTTCTACAGCTTAGCTATTGTGAATCGTGCTGTCATAAGTTGGGTGTGCAAATGATCATGGTAATGGGCTATCTTTAATTCTTTGGGGATACATCAAAGAGTCCTTATAGCTGGATCAAATGGTATATTTTTTGAGGGTTTTTTTGAGGAATCTTCATACTGACTTCTGTAATGGTTACACTAATTTATAGTCACACCAACAGTGTAAGAGAACCTCTTCTAACTCTCTTGCTACATAGTTAAAAGCAAGGTAGAAAAGTGTATTGTTGGGACCAGGGACATGGCTCAGTAGACTAAGCACTTCCCTGGCAAACTCAAGGGCCTTAGTTCAATCCCTGGTCCCGCCAAAAAAAAAAAAAAAAAAAACACGGTATTGCTTTGTGAGTAGAGTTTTTGGTTGTTGTTGGTTTGTTTTTTTTTTTTTGCTGTCCTTTTATCCTAAAAGTCATTTTAACCTTTGCATCTGGTGAACTTGCTGAATTCTCAGTAATAGTCTTTCTGTTGTATCAGTTGGAATTTTTTATTTTAATTTTTTTATTATTTTGGTACAGGGTCTCACTACGCAGCTGAACTCAACAATGATCCTCCTGTCTCAGCCTCCCTAATGCTGGGATTTTAGGTGTGCATCACCACACCCAACCTCGGGCCCACACAGTGCCCAGGGACCTGAGGCCAGCACAGTACGTGGTACCCATGAACTCAGGACCTTGTGCTTGCCAGGCAAGCACTTAGGCCACCAAGCCATCTCCCCAGCCCATCAGTTAGAATTTTAAAGTAGAATATTACCATATCATCTGCAAATAATGGCTTTTGAATCTTGCATTTTTACACCTTTTATTTCTTATTGTATAGTATTAGTGAGGCCCTAAGACTAGTATTGTAAGGTCAGTATCCTAGTCATCTGTCTCCTTCATGCTAATGGGAATGTTAAATGTGATGCTTGCTTGCTGTTGGTTTCCAATGTAGAAGTATCCTTCCACTACTTCTGGTTAAATGAAAAGTCATCTCTTTAATGGGTATCTGACACTTCTTGGTGGTCAGTTTTAGTAAATAGCACAACCATGCATATAGTAGTTCAAGCCAAAAACCTCAGAGACTTTCTTTTCTTTTATCCCCATGTCTAACCAAGTGTGAGTTCAAGCAGTTCTACTCCAAACTGCACTCAAGTCACACCACCTATTGTACTTCTTAATTTAATATTTCTTTTTCATATATTGTAATAACTAACACTTTAATTGAATTTAGCTGCACTGTCATTTTTTTTTCTGATAGACTTATTTTAAATATATGCATTTCCCTTAATACTGTTATGGCTATATCTATGTTTTGTTTTGGTTTTTTTAAGACAGGGTCCCACTATGTATTTCAGACTGACCTTGAACTCACTATGTAGCCCTGGCTGGACTCAAACTCAGTGATCCTTCTGCCTTAGACTCCCGAGTTCTGAGATAGGCATGTGCCATCACACCTGGTCTTATCTATAGGTTTTGAAAAGTACATCCTGTTCTATTTGAGACAGGGTCTCACTGTGTAGTTCAGGCTGTCATTGAACTCACTGTGTAGCTCAGGTTGGCTTTGAATTCCTAGCAATCTTGCCTCAGCTTTCTGGGTACTACCATGCCCAGTTAAAAAGTATAATTATTATTATTAATTTTAAAAATCTAAATACAGTTATGTTTTCTCATTGGTATGAGGTTTAGGTCTCTTTGGAGGGGGATTGGTATTCTTGTGTTTTTAATTTCTGATTAAAGAATTTGGTTTATTTTATTTTACTTTTGATGAAGTTTTTAGTTTTTCCTTTTTTATTGTTGGAACGAGAATTTGACCCAAAGGTTATGACTGCGGCCTGCATTCCTGACACTGGCACAGAGCTACGCTCCTTCCCTCGCCCCAATTTAAGCCTCTGCTGACCTCTGGCCCACTGTCTTCCTTATCCAAATCCCAGGATAATCAAGACAAGGGAATGTTACCAGATAATCTCTGATAGTTACATGCTATTTAAAATAAAACAGCTCAGTAGAATAAGCACTTCCCTAGCAAGCGAAAGGGCCTGAGTTCAATCCCCGGTTCCGCAAAAATATAAAAATAAAATAAAATAAACCAAAATAACCAAGTTTCCAGTCTAGGTGAGAGAGATAAAAAGGATATATATACCAAGTTCTTTGGAGCCTAGAGGAGGGGAAACTTGTTTGCTGGGAAGAGATTGGTAGTCACAAAAAGCCCTTGATTCATTTCTGTCACAGGTATTTACTTAGCACCTGGGTGCTATCTCCTAGTGGTTGAAGGCCACAGCAGGTTACAGTCTCTTGACTTGACAGTTCCTGACCCCCTGAGTTGCAAGGCACTGTGCCTTCCCTTCCTGACCCTGCTGTTCCGCCCAGGTGCCGCTGTCACTCGGCGCGTTCGGCGCTTCACCTGGCTCCGAGAGATCCGAAAGCTACAGAAGAGCACAGACCTCTTGCTGAGGAAGGCGCCCTTCAGCCGCGTGGTGAGCCCTTAGGAGCTTGCCATCACCCTGTGCCACCCTTCTTCCTTTAATCTCTCAGGATGGGAAACCTGTACTCTTGCTAGGTACCTGGGAGCTCTCAATCTTCTGAAAACATGAGTTCTTCAAGGAAGGATAGCATGTGGTGCTGTACAGAACTGACTTTTTTTTTTTTTTTAAATGTATTTAGTATAGAATTTACAGGGTCTCACTACACAGATCAGAATCGTAGTGATCCTCATGTTTTCAGCCTCCCAAGCACTGGGATTATAGGTGCACATAACCACACCCAGTCTAAGTTGCTTGTCTCAGCACACCCCTGGGGCAGGGCAGGGATCAAACCTAGGTCCCTGCATCTGCCTAAGCAGGCACTTTAATCCACTGAGCTATCTGACCAGCCCCAGAGCTAACTTCTTTTTTTTTTTTTTTTTTTTTTTTTTGCTGTACCGGAGATTGAACTCCGGACCCTGTACTTGCCAAGCAAGTGCTTATTCTACTGAGCTAGCTCCCCAGCCCCAGAACTAACTTCTTAATTGACTTAAAAAAAAAAAAATGTATTTAGTATAGGGTCTCACTACGCATCATAGTGATCCTCCTGTTTTCAACCTCCCCAGCACTGGGATTACAGGTGTGCACCACCACGGCCAGAGGCAGGGTTGGCTCAGCCTGTGGTACAGGGGATCAAACCTGGTCCATGCACTTTCCTAAGCAGGCACTCAGTCTGCTGAGCTATCTCGCCAGCCCCAGAATTGGCTCCTAATTTTGGTTAACTTGAAACTGTTCTTGGGTTATATAAATAGCTCCCTCTCCTCCAGCCACCATTTAAGCCCCTTCCCTAGCTTAGGGAGTCCCTCCTTAATCTCCCCACCACCAGCAGCCAACTCCTCAGCTCCCCAGAGTTCACAGCTGCTTCTAGACAAGCCCAAGGTGAAGGTCAGGACAAAATGACAGAACTGAGGGTTCCCTGGAGACACTGAAGGTGTCCATCTTCCTTCACATCTCTTTGCTTACTCTCTACTCCCCACTCCACCTTCCCCATCTCACCTCCCCAGGTAAGAGAAATATGTGCTAAATTCACCCGCGGTGTGGACTTCAGCTGGCAAGCTCAGGCCCTGCTGGCCATTCAAGAGGTGAGAAAGGCCCTAAGTAACAGGGTGGTGTGGGAGCGAGAGAAAGAACCTTCTGGAATCCTACAGGGCTCCCAGGAGTGCTGCAGGCTGCATCTACCTCCAGAAGCAAACAGCTTGGTAACGCCTGAGAGTTGTGAGGGGCTTTTGTGTGGTGGCACAGACTAATTTTCAGTTAGGCTCCCTTCCTAAGCGGTTGTCTTCAGCCCTCTGAGCCCTCCAATTCAGTTCAGCAGTCTCCAAGGAACAGCAGCTAGACCCTCTGTCTGAGTGCCCTTTCTTTCCCTGCTGCAGGCCGCGGAAGCATTTTTAGTTCATCTCTTCGAAGATGCCTACCTCCTCTCCTTACACGCTGGCCGAGTCACTTTGTTCCCCAAGGATGTGCAGCTGGCCAGGAGGATCCGCGGCATTCAGGAAGGACTCGGCTG